GGCCGGGAAGAGGAGTGGCCATATGCGTTTTAATCACCCGAAACCACTTGTTTTCTTGCTTGTCTGTGATCTTTAACCATGCACGCTTGGCACCAGACTTAAACGAGGAGCTTCATACAAATAAGAGAGCTGATAAAGAGATTGAACGATACTGGGAATGGATCCCGTCAGATTGTTGTTTGAAAGATCCCTGCGCGTGCGTGGGATGAGATGGGGAGGGATAAGTGAGGAGATGAGATTAGAGGGCATAGAGTGAGCGACAGCAAGCACACACGGACGATTCAAGTGGGAGGTGACACGACCATGCTGGGAGTCAGACATGATTTAACCCGAATTGCAGTTTGGTTCATGCTTGAAGGGTTGAGCAAGAACACGAACGCCTGTTCGGATCGCCACGAACATGTTCGGGGCGAACAGTGTGAGAAATTTTGAAGAAGAACCGATAATTTCATTAGGAAGAGCATGGGTTTACATAGTTGAGCTAGGATGTAGGAGCCATGCCAACATTATTGGCCCCCACCAATAAGTTGGGTTGAAGAATTATTGGGGGGACTAATAATGTTGACCAAAAGTGGGTCAACATTATTGGGGGGTCCAATAGTTTTCCAACCCAATCTTGGGGGCCCGATGATTGAGCCAAGGCTGGGTTCCGACCTCAAACTAGGGTAAACCCTAGTTGTGCACCCAAACTAAGTTTGGGTGTCTATCTCTAACCAAAGCTTATATGATGATGCAGGTTACAATGAAGATGATTATCTGACAAACCGAACAGTCTTTTTATTGTTCGAGGCGAACATGTTCGGTGTTCGCCCGAACATGTTCGCCGTTCGCCCAGACCTGCTGGCCGAGGCGCGTCGAACACGAACACGAAAGTGTTCGTTGACAAATTTTGCTGCGACCAAATTTAGGTCGCGGTGTATTTAGATTGAGCTCACCTTTTGAGCTCATTCTCATATCGACCTAACCGCCAGGCCCTAGTCTCCCACAAACGCCATTACTTAATACTTTTAAGAGGCACAACACTACGTCTTAAAGTTATATGAGGGACATTTCCTACTACTAGAAAGGAGTTGCACACATTTCTTGAAGTTTAGAGATGTTAGATATCATTTAAGACTTTGCGCAGTCCATGCTCAAGGAGGACGAGCCGTCGTTACTCCGTGCGATGAGACGTAGGTTAGAGACGGGCATTTGGCCCGGCCCGACCCGGCTTGGCCGGGCCGAGCGGGTTCCCGGGCCGGGTCAGGTCGGGCCAGCCTCGGGTCAGGATGTTGCATACCCTGACCCAACCCAGGGGTACAGGGCCGGGCCGATCCTGACCCGACTTCGGCTCGGGCCGGGTCGGGTCGGGTCAGGAAACCCAAATTCGTTCGCGCTCTGTGCAGATCGGCGCTTCCGTCCGCCGATCTGTGCCCGCCGATCTGCGCAGATCGGCGATTTTACCCGCCGATCTGCGCAGATCGGAGATTTCGCCCGCCGATCTGCGCATATCGGCGCTTTCGTCCGCCGATCTGCGTAGATCGGTGAGTTCGTTGGTGTAACTCTGCAAATCGTCAATTTCGCTGGTCGATCTGGTGGAGATTGGGAGTTTCGTCGTGGCACTTGTTTCCGACGAATGTTGGAACAAACATTTTTAATCAATTCGCCATTGCTCACCACTCCTTACCGCACTAAATCTACCATTCCCAACCCCCCCCCCCTCCCACTCTTTACAGATCTCTCGACATTGAGCCTCTCCACAAAGTCGACTTCTAACTTGTCGCATTCTTTGGCTGCAAACCAAGTAGTTATGGTTCCTAGGTGCCTTTGGTCGCTGGAGGAAGGATATTAGGTTTGCGGTAATGAATTGATGTCGAGGGGAAAAGATTACCCTTGACTTAGAATGTGTTAGGGTTTCGAGTCTCCCCTGTGTCGAAATCGGGTCGAAATCAGCTAAACAGTGATGTTCGTGATGGGGCGAACACGACGTGTTCGTGTTCGCCCCTTGCTCATCCCTTGAACCAGTTTAAGTCGCACACACAGTTCGACAAAGTTTTTGTTGATCCAAGGCTGGGAGGGGGATATCCGGGAAGAAGAGTGGCCATATACATTTTAATCACCCGAAACCATTTGTTTTATTGCTTGCCTGTGATCTTTGACCATGCACGCTTGGCACTGGGCTAAAACAAGGAGCTTCATACAAATAAAAGAGCTGAGAAAGAGATTGAATGTGAGTGGGAATGGATCCCGTCAGATTGTTGTTTGAAAGAAACCTGTGCGTGCGTGGGATGAGATGGGGAGGGATAAGTGAGGAGATGAGATTAGAGGACATAGAGTGAGCGACAGCAAGCACACACAGACGATTCAAGTGGGAGGTGACACGACCATGCTGGGAGATAGACATGAGTTAACCCGAATTGCAGTTTGGTTCATGCTTGAACCAGTTTGAGCGCACACACAGTTCGACAAAGTTTTTGTTGAACCAAGGCTGGGAGGGGGATGTCCGGGAAGAGGAGTGGCCATATGCGTTTTCCACGTTGGTGGCAGGGCAACTGTTTATCGCACTGTTGGTGGCAAGCGCATTTTCCGGCCCACTAAGTTTTCGGGTACACTTGCCACCAACTCGAAGTGAACAGTTGCCCTGCCACCAACATGGAATACGCCCTTAAACACCCAAAACCTCTTGTTTTATTGCTTGCCTGTGATCTTTGACCATGCACGCTTGGCACCAAACTTAAACAAGGAGCTTCATACAAATAAGAGAGCTGAAAAAGAGATTGAATGCCACTGGGAATGGATCCTGTCAGATTGTTGTTTGAAAGTTCCCTGTGCGTGTGTGGGATGAGATGGGGAGGAATAAGTGAGGAGATGAGATTAGAGGGCATGGACCGAACCGAATGACAACAAGCACACACAGACGATCCAATTGGGGGATAAGACGAGCATGGTGGGAGGCAGAAATGAGTAAAAAACGAATCGTTGTTGGTTCAAGTCGCACACCCAGTCAGTCTGACGAATATGTGGTTTTCGTCGAACCTGGGCCTGGGCCCTGGGCTGGGGTGGGGGGGGGGCAGGAGGAGGAATTGCGGGATATTCAGCCAGGCTTGGTTGCCAATAACGTGGCCATATACGTTATGATCCGCAATATGGCAGCGTTATTGGCTGCCAAGCCTCAACGTGTGGCAGCCTTAACGTGCGGCCAGCCAGGAACTCCTTGCCTTCTTCCTTGCGTGTGGCATCTGAAATATGTGACTAAGGATATTCTCTTGAGGGTTTTGTCAAAAAACTGCCATTGCCAGCCATCTGTCCTTAATTCTGTCCTTCTTGCTCTTCTCTGTTCCTGTCCTGCCTCAGCCACTCTCTATGAAAGTGATAGAGCTCTCACCCTAAGGGTCCTCCCTGAGTGTTGTGTCACCTGGCTGCAAGGTTAAGGTAACAACGTTCCACTATACGAAAGGATAACAAGCAAAAAGCATCGGGTGGGTGTGAGAGAGTGAATTTACCTGGCCCAGGCTCGAACCGTGCATTTCTCAATGTGCGGCTCGAGCCTGGGTTGGTTTGTTCACATTGGTTCCGTGAATTCCACCCCTCGGTGCTCTCCTACCAACCTCGCGTCATTTTCTCTGGTCCCCAACTACCTACCCTCGAATGTGGCAAACTCAACATTGCTACACCATACCTACACCGCATACTCTGGCACCTTATATGCATAATCATGCATATTCAGTGACAGTTTCAAAATCATGTGATCGTTGATCGTGTACGTTCTTATCACCAGCCAAACGAGGTGCTTCATATAGATGAAAAAGCTGAAAAATATCGGAGATGCCATTTGGAATGGAGCCCGTCACATCCTTGTTTGAAAGAGACCTGTGTGCGCACACGAGGGGGGGGGGGGGGGGGGGGAATGGGGGACGGGGAGGGGTGTTGAGGCGACAGATGTGAGGAGATGAGAACAGTGGGCATGGACCGAGGGACAGCATAGAAAGCAACACAAGCAACCCAAGAGGATGTTTTGTATGAGCATGGTGGGAAGCTGTGAGTAGCACTACGAGGAGAACAAGGCAAGAGAAGTGCTACATTATGAGGGGCAAACAAAGGGTGAGGAAAAATGAAAAAAAAATACAATAATATTATTCTAATGGTGAGCAGTACTGGCATTGGATGCAACAACCAACGTTTATATGTGACTGCCGTGTTGGATTCTTTTTGTGTTATCGCTTACCAACGTGCCCTTCTCTACCTCTATATCAATATGCGTCTCTTCTTAGCTGCCTTCGTTCCCTGGAATTCGACTAGCTAATCGCAGGCGAGCTAATAGTTTCACTGTGTGGTTCTTACAGATAAGTTAGTGCTGTGAGAGAGGAGATGCTGTCAGGAATAGGTCCATTCAGATTCGCCGTTTCAGATCTACGTGGGGTGGGTGGGTGGGGGGGTGGGGGGGGGGAGAGATGAGGAAACCAGACGGAGACACGAGTGACGTGAGCACTGGAAATAAATGGTGCAAATTTCACCAATGAGCACAGAAATCCATCAACACAAGCTTGCAGGACACTATCAGCTTGTGTGGGGTCCAATCCATCCCAGACGGGGAACATGATCACACTTACATCGAAGTGATCATGCCTGAATCATCACACGTGAGTCCTTGGGCGCGGGAACAGTCAGCACCCACGGCCCAGCCTTGGACCGCCTTTCCCCATGCCATTCGGCAGTCCCAGAGAAACACATCTGACAGTTGGGAACAGGAGGGGAGAGAGAGACAGAGGCAGAGATGAGGAAAGTTCCAAATATAGCACTGAAGACCAGGGAAACCAGAACGGATTACCAGGCTCAAAAGTCCCCAGACCTGCAACACCATCCCGAGGCGCCAATGCTGCCTGAACCCAATTTGGAAGGGGATCTTCATTTCGGGCCACACATAGCAGCCCAGCCAGAAGCAGGGCTCCGTCACCTGCTAGCCCAATCAGAAGCAGGGCTCCGTCAACGCAACCGCGGCCCGTCAGAGAACACCCTTTCTCATGTCCCCACTCATGTCGCCACTGCAGCTGCCAGACACCACGGGCACCCTTGCCAGAGTCACCACTCTGGTGAAACGAGGCAGATCAGCGAAGGCACTGCAGGCCCTAGAATCCACGCCACTCTGCCCAAACCAACGAAGCCACTCTAGAGCCCACCCCAGTGTTGCGTCCGCACCGCACTCTCCTTTCGGCTTACAACTTCCGCACCAACACGCCCCTAGCCATTTCGCCCGAGGATTGCAAGAACGGTGTTGGAGCGGGCCCAAGTGGGGTGTGCTTTGAGCAACTCGCGACGCCACGCGCTTCACCATCCCGACGTGGGCGAGCACCTACTCGCTTCACCACCCCGACGTGGGCGAGCACCTACTCGCTTCACCACCCCGACGTGGGCGAGCACCTACTCGCTTCACCACCCCGACGTGGGCGAGCACCTACTCGCTTCACCACCCCGACGTGGGCGAGCACCTACTCGCTTCACCACCCCGACGTGGGCGAGCACCTACTCGCTTCACCACCCCGACGTGGGCGAGCACCTACTCGCTTCACCACCCCGACGTGGGCGAGCACCTACTCGCTTCACCACCCCGACGTGGGCGAGCACCTACTCGCTTCACCACCCCGACGTGGGCGAGCACCTACTCGCTTCACCACCCCGACGTGGGCGAGCACCTACTCGCTTCACCACCCCGACGTGGGCGAGCACCTACTCGCTTCACCACCCCGACGTGGGCGAGCACCTACTCGCTTCACCACCCCGACGTGGGCGAGCACCTACTCGCTTCACCACCCCGACGTGGGCGAGCACCTACTCGCTTCACCACCCCGACGTGGGCGAGCACCTACTAGCTTCACCACCCCGACGTGGGCGAGCACCTACTCGCTTCACCGCCCCGACGTGGGCGAGCACCTACTCGCTTCACCACCCCGACGTGGGCGAGCACCTACTCGCTTCACCGCCCCGACATGGGCGAGCACCTACTCGCTTCACCGCCCCGACGTGGGCGAGCACCTACTCGCTTCACCGCCCCGACGTGGGCGGGCACCTACTCGCTTCACCGCCCCGACGTGGGCGAGCACCTACTCACTTCACCACCCCGACGTGTGCGAGCACCTTCAACGAGGGTGACCTCCCCCAAGACGTGCCCTTCAACGAGGGCGGCCTGCGCGTGCGTCTTCGGCAGTCCGGTCGGCCCGCCTGCCGCCTCACTCCCACCTACCCTGGGAGGCCTCGGCATCACCGATCCGGCAGCGGAGTGCAACTATGCCTACATGCCGTCAACGGCGACTACCTGCAGCCCTCCTCACGCAGCTCGGAGACGCCCTCCACCCCTTCTGGACCGATTTTTGAGAATTATTGCAGCCCTGCTCATCTTTTTTTAGCCTTCCCCACCGCCGGCAGAAGCACCTGTGACCCTCCCTACCCGCATCGCCGTAGCAGAAGCAACCCTTCCGTTGGTCGGCATCCCCACTCTCGCCCAGCTCCGGGAGGGCGCAGCGCAGACATCTTGAACGGTCAGAATGCCCTACCTTTGGCAGTCCACTCTGGCTGCTACGGGGATCTCCTAGAGCAGAGCAGGGAACTGGTTGATGGCCATGCCTGTTACCCACTGATGGGCCACACGCAGTGCTTTATGTCCCTGATTGGCCCGGGTGCGGGGATTTGGCTGATGGCCGTCCCCTTTACCCACTAATTGGCTCATGTTCGTCCCATTTACCCGCAGTCTGCAGCTCTCTCCTGCTCACTTCACATCAGCATTGGCGGCTCGGCCTACCCCAGGAGGTACCTGGCACATGCGACTGCCGCGGCAACACCCAAATACTGTGCTGCTGCGACAAGACCCAACCCAGGTACTGGGCACTAGACTCCCCAACCACCTGCTGCGGTGCGGAACGGGGGGAAAGGACGCATAGGAACCCACCGGTCGATGCGCAACGAATGTGCCCGACCGGAATTGCAGCCGCCGACGCGGGCTTTGCGGCACAGTGGGAGACTACGCTGTACACACCAGTGGAGGGGCTGAACTAGAGCAGTGTGGATCGAGTTGACTTTTGAGTCGACTCAAAAGTCGACCGGAATTGCAGCCGCCGACGCGGGCTTTGCGGCACAGTGGGAGACTACGCTGTACACACCAGTGGAGGGGCTGAACTGGGGCAGAGTGGATCTGTGAGGTTACTGTGGCAGACTGCGCCACAGTAACGGCATCAGAACGCACTGATCGCCAAGACCCACGCTGGCTCTGTGGCAGACTGCGCCACAGTAACGGAAGCCACGCTACTGTGGTCTGCGACCCAGACCGTGCCTCTGCCTCTGGTGTACCAGAACGCACTGATCACCAAGACCCACACTGGCTCTGTGGCAGACTGCGCCACAGTAACGGAAGCCACGCTACTGTGGTCTGTGACCCAGACCGCGCCTCCGCCTCTGGTGTATCAGAACGCACTGATCGCCAAGACCCACGCTGGCTCTGTGGCAGCCCCGACGGCAGTGAACACCTTCTTTCAGCCGCTACGCATTGGGTAGAAGCTCCGCTGGAGACTTGCTTAGTGTTAGGCCGTGGCAGGCACCCCTGTACCAACCTTTATAACCCTGGTTGTACTTCCCCCCTTATCAGTAAGGGCCATTTGAGGCACAATGTGAAGAGTGGATACAGCGTACGGGTCTGCGTTGACGCTGATGGATATATACAGCCTGCGCGGGAAATGTGTCAGGGAATCAGCTTTGCTACCACATACTTTTTGGGGAGGGGGGGAGAGAGGGGGGGGAGGGAAGATTTTAAGCAGTCGCACTGCTACAGCCAGCGCCGAAACGCTCCCTGCTTTCCGCGCCTGCTACTATGGATAACCAAGGAAAGGCTCTTGTGACGATGGGTCTCTCCCATCCCCGCCTCAAAGCATCGGCTTTAAACGCGCACACCTAGGAACAACATCGGCACGTGTAGAACACGTGCCGCACGAGTGCTACTCGCATTGTGGCAGTGCAAAACCGCGCGATGATGATGGTACCACAGTGAGGTTTGAACGAGGTACGAAAAGGGAGGCTGAGAGGCATTGCTCGCTGTTACCAACTCATCCTAACGCATCGCCGTGCGGCGGTATTACCTGTACTACTACTATGGCTGCCTCCTAGCTGTCGTTGGCAGTCTACTAGTAACCATGAGCGCCTACTACGTGACGTCTTTACCCACTTACTAGTACTACTATCAGACGCATCGCTACACCAGGCTGCGAGGAGGAAGGGAGGTACAAATTAGAGAAGCATTCCGGTACCTGTGCTGGTTGGAGTAGGTAATGTGTTACACTGGTAGTAGTAGTAGTAGCATTGTTCGAGGAAGAACGGACGTACCTTGTGTAGCGTTCAATCTGATCACGGTTTGCGCGTGGCTTGGGGAGATGAACGCAGCAAGCCAAAGCGCGGCGGAGAGTGCAACCCATGCTCGCAGCTGCATCGTAGTTGGCTCTGGCGGCGGCATTTGCGGAGCGACTGAACTGCTCTGCTACAACTGCCACCACCTCTGGTGGTGACGTTAGTTCAAAATTTTCACAATAGGAATCCCAGCGAAGGTGACGGAGGGAAAACGAGACTACACAGCAAAGCGGATGGATGCTAACTTGAAAGGTGTCACTGAGGGATGGAACTTGCCTAGACAGCACTGAGCGGCAGTGCTTGGAATGGGCTCACAAAAGCACAGTGCTGCTGCTCAGTCTAAATTTGGAGAATTGGCAGGTTGACGCCCCCAGGCCTGGGAGGAGGTTCTGTCAGACGGAAGGACCCAGCGAGCCGGCACACGCACAAGGTTCCTCCTCACCTACTTCCGAACCTAACCTCGAACTCCAGCCCGAGCCTGCAAGTCCTCTGAACAACGGAAAGACTTGGGCCATGATTCCTACCGCGTGCGATTTTCGTTCTTGAACCTCCCAGAGCTGGTGAAGGGGAAAATTAGGTTTTTGGAGGTGTTCGGTGGCACATCATCACATGCCTATTTTTTTGCCGAGTCTTTAGCACCAATTTCGCATTCAGAGGGTCGTGGTGTTGATAATTACGCACTTTGCTAACAGACGAACAGTGAGATCCCGCTTTTTCCCCTGAGTCTTCACTCACACTTAGAAGAAATTAGATAAATCCTCTCAGGAACTACTTCGTGTTCATTCTCAAACTTCCACGCATCGTCGCCCAGGTGCCTGGGAGCCGGCTGGAGCTGTCGTCCCCCGCCTGCATCGCACTTCTTAGAGTGTGTCCGAAGTGAAGCGTCGAATGGATGTCGCTGGATGTCGGTAAATGTCAACCCTCGGATGCAGAGTTCCAACCGTCAGGATTTACCGGCATCGGATGTCAACGGATGTCACGTTCACTTCGAACCCGCTCTTAGCATGGCTGCTTCACTATGAGTGGATCTGCTAGCTCCTCAAAGATTTCGCTCGCAGGTTTGACAAGGCGCTTTGCACGGCAGATGAAGCTCTCACATCAATACACCAAGCAGGTTCGGGATGAGGCTCTGTGGCGAGGCAATGACAATTATTGTGAAGAGAATCTGCGAACTGGGTGACTGCTCGCACCGGATTCGTCTAAACCAGCAATAACAGCTTATAACGAGGTAAATACTATTTAGATTACCCTATAATTGTGAACTAATAAATTCTGCAGATATATCAATGTCAAACATAGTTGGATTTCTAGATTTCATGCTGTCTAGTGGATTTCTTAGATTTCATGTTGCCACATATAAAAATATATTATAATGTCATGAAAAGTATCATATTGAAATCCGATTCAAGCTTAACACCAATTCCAAAACCAAAAAAAAAAAAAAAAAAAAACGAAACAATACTGCTAGAATAATTAAGTTGGCTATAACTTAGAGTTTGGTGTGTTGGAAACAAGTAATTTAACGGTTCCGATGTATCGTAACATCGAACCATAAATGAGGCAAGCTACAGCGGAGCAATGGCGAGTCAACCGAGGAGGTTGAATGAAAAGTAACAGCCGGATGCTACGCGAAGGTCAAAAGTCAGGGACCTTTGATTCGACAAATACAGCGCGACAGCAATGACAAACAACTGACTCGATATTGAGCAGTTGCCCGAGTCGTCACTGTATCGAACCGCAACAGCAAAACAATTAGTTGCACCCCTTCATATTCCTTGTAATCTTATAAAAGCCTTTGTATTATTTTGCTATAATCAATCTATCTTGCTCTCACACACTAGTGCAAAGTGGTTCAACAAGTTTACTATATGCTTCCGCTATTACATTATTCCTACGCAGGGTCTTAGCCTTGCAAACGATCCTAAGGGCTTTTCTCAGCCCAACATGGTATGAGAGCTCACAAGGCAATATCCAATTTCATTAATACTCCTACAACAACAAAAGGCATGGCAGCACAAAAGGAGAGAAGCTCCTCTAACGGCTCTCCTGAAACTACTCCTTCTCCACCTCCAGCCTCTGGCCTGCAGACAGAGGGAGGTACGGCAACAAGACCGGCTGCCGAGTCTACTAAGACATCTGCGAACCAAGCAACAGGCTTCGACCCAAGTATGATGGAGAAATTCTTCTCCTTCATGTCCTTCTACAAGCAGCACCAGCAAGCAGCACCTGCGCAATCAAACAACAGTGACAACAACAATGGCGTCACTCCAATGAGCCTTGACGGTTCATCCTATGCGCGCGGAAACCAGCAGCAACCTACCTTTGCTCCGTACGAACCTCAACGCGGCTCCATCAGCTTCATGCCACACCAGCAACCTTCACCTGGACAAGAGAAAACATTGGACGCGCTTCAGGTTCAATCACAGTTCGCACACGTTTTGAAGCTGCAGACATCAACACCCTTTGACGGAAATGATTTTTATACCTGGTCATTCGAGTTTGAGTTGTTAATGGAAGGCGCGCAGATTCTCGGATTCTTCGACGAGTCCCTGCCATACCCAACACACGGGACGCAGTACGACAAGCAACAGTATACGTATCAGTCGCTGATGGCGTATACGATTCTCCTACGCAACATCATACCGAACGAGCAGCAGAACATTCGGTCTTATCGTGAATACGGCAACTCCGCCGAGCTCGCATACAACCACATGAAGAACCTGTATCAAGCAACATACAGTGTTAACCAAAGTGATCTCATGGCACAGCTGACAACAGTGGAAATGAAACCCGGCAAAAAAGGGATGGCGTATATCAGCCGTTGTCGCGGACTGCGCGACAGACTCCTTCGATACGGAGGATCAATATCCGAAGAAGCTTTCGTGACAGTTGTCATCACTGGTCTCGGTCCTCATTGGCGCTCCACTCGAGCTATCCTCCGAGCTCACGGGAAGATCTCCGAAGCGGCACTCTGCGCCGAAATTCACGCTGAACAGCAGGACATGGACATACACGAAGAACGAGACAAGAAGAGAGCGTCAGCACCCAGAGTTCGCGTTCCACAGTCCACGGCGCCACAACAACTACAACAATCGTCAGAACAAACATCAAGCTCAACAGTACGTACCACCGTTTTGCCATCTCTGCAAGACGTCAGGACACCCTCGCACACACTGTCCGAATCGGCAGCAGTCAACGCCGCCGCAGCGTCAACTTCGACCATCAAGCAGCCAAGTAGCCTCTACACAAGCGCATCCCACCAATCAAGTACAGTCCCCAACGACATCAACGACAAAATCTACACAAGGCGCAAGAAACATCGTAAGATGTATGGAAAGAACAACAGGCTCCTGCATCACCGGATCGCCACCACACTACTCACCAGAAGAACAACTCGACGAAAGCACCCCTCACCGCGAATCACTGGAGCCCAACCCAACGTACGCAGCCATCGCCCAGAGCGAGCCGTCCGGGAAAGACACCTGGTTCTTGGACAGCTGCTGCAGACAACACATGTGCTCCTCGGGTCGTTTCGTTCAACGGGAACACCAACTGCAGCGCAAAGTCGTCATCACCGTCGCCAACAACCAGAACCTGCGCACACGACGACAAGGGACAGTTCAGCTTTAGTCACGAGAGACTAACGTTATTCTGCAAATGTCGAAAGTCTTAATTGCAGAAGGACTCAGCTACAACTTACTTAGCGTCAGTCAACTAATGACGAAGGTTATTCATCTTGAAGCAAACAGCACCACTCAGTAGTTCAAGCTGTACCACGGGAGAGGTGGACTCTACATCGGCAAGGCGGTCTTGAAGAGCAACGTCTTCGTTCTTGACTTCGTTCCAGACCAAGGCACCGCCGACAGCGACGCCATCGTCAATTTCACCTCCTGGACACACCCGCCAGGTCTCGACCCCGACTTCAGTCCTGGAGGCTTCTGGTACTCGCACACTATACCTGAAGCAGAGCAAATAAGAGCGTTAGTGACAATCCAACAAATGGAGACAACATCGGCAGCAGCAGAGACAACACTGACAGCAGCAGAGACAACACCAGCAGCAGCAGAGGCAACACCGACTACGACACCAATCTCGGGTCCTTCAACGGCACCAGTTCTAATCGACGATACTCCACCGACTCCTGCGCAGCAGCTGACCCCCACTCCACGAGAAGTCCACAGAAGCGCCAACTTCACCGCCGATTTTTATTCCAACTCCGACTTGTACAGGCGCTCACCCGAACATCGCGCTGGCGAAGCCATCTGGCACGCAAGAATGGGATACCCGAGCAACACGACGTTAAATAATACGATACGAGCAGGCGTCCTTGACAAAGATTCAATACTTCTAACCGACGGCAGAGAACTTCAACGAGTCCGCACAACGTGCTTTACCTGCCCTGAAGCCGACTTACCGCATCAGCCGTTCGTCTCTTACCACAACACGAGCGCACCAGCATACGCACCAGTGAAGAAAGTGTACAGCGATATACTGTCCAACCGTAAACTCGGACAAGGAGCTTATAACTACGTCATCACGTTCATCGACGCCGCCACACGATACGTCTGGCATCTCAACCTTCCGAGCCGTAACATGGCCTTTGAAGCTTTCGTCGCCTGGCTTCTAGTAGCAGAACGGGAATCATGAGTGAAGCTAAAAAGCTTCCAGTCAGACGGGGGAGGAGAATATCAGTCACAGATGTTCAAGGACTACCTGGCAGAAAGAGGCATCAAAAGGCTCATCTCCCTTCCCTACGCCCATCAACAGCAAGGCGTGGCAGAAATAATGAACAGGACCCTTCAGAACATCATGCGCAAACTGTTGCGTGGCATGCGGCTACCCAACCACCAGTGGCCCGAGGCGATGGACCACGCTGTCATGCTGCACAACTTGCTCTCGTCATCATCGCTCCCAAACAACGCATCACCGCATCTGCTGTGGACAGGAAAATTGGGCAGCACAAAAATGTTACGAGTATTCGGTTGCATGGTACAGTACCGACCCCCAGCTGCACGAGCCGGCCGATTCTCTAAACGCGCGCAGTGGGGAGTACACCTGGGCATTGAAAAACATTACAACGCGTGGAAGATTTTCGACGTCCACTCAAAGGAAACAGTAGCACCACGGGACGTGATTTTCTACGAACGACTCACCCTCCCAACATACCTTGCCAACCTGGAAGAAGACCGAGACCCCACAGGCGGATTTCATGGTGACCGAGCCTTCGCTTCGGCAGCGGACGAAGCTGATTGGGACAAGCAGAACGTGGACGGAGCTTCGGAGGAAACCGGACCTCTTCCGTACTGCTGAGTGGACATTCCCATGGACGCCGACAACCCTCGCGAAAGCATCAACGCCGAAACCTACCATCACTTCGCCGACAACGGTTACGTCACACCCGCAAGAGTCGGCACCGACGAAGCAGAACGCGTAGGACCCAGTTTCACACCTGACCCAGAAGCAGGAGACGATGAAGCTTATCCCGAGGATGCAAATCTCCCCCGCTACACACAGAGTGGGCTGCAAATACTAGGACTCGTCACCGCCGTCCACAAAGTAGCGCCACCTAAGGAGCCTGCTACAGTTCAGCAGGCTCTAGGGGGGAAAAATGGCGCGAAGCCATGGACAGGGAATTAAAGGCACTGGAAGAACGCAACACTTGGAAGGTCGTACCCATCGGAGTGGCTTGCAACAAGACGATACTCACCGAGAAGTGGGTTTTCCGTGTGAAAACAAAGGCAGATGGAACCATCGACAAGTTTAAAGCACGCTGGGTCGTACGCGGCTTCGACCAAGAACACGGACGAGACTTCACCGAAACTTTTGCACCGGTCAGCCGACACACCTCACTGCGGATTCTCCTCGCGATAGCCGCTATAAAGCGGAAGAATCTCCACCAAATCGACTTCGCTAACGCCTTCCTATACGCTCCCGTCGATGCTGAGATCTTCGTCGAGCAACCGCACAGCTCAAATGCTGATCCTAACCAAGTCTGCCAGCTGCTGAAGTCCTTATACGGGATCAAGCAGGCTCCGAGGCTGTGGCAACAATATCTGCACGCCCGATTGATTCCCATCGGTTTTCGTCAACTCCCGCACGACCAAAGAATGTATCGTCTCACGAAGGGTGCCGACTACATCTTACTCATAGTCTATGTGGACGACCTGCTTTACATCGGCTCTACCAACGATGTCACGACCTGCTTCGAAGGGGAGCCACAACGGGATCTTACGCTCACCGTCTCGTCTACCGTGACATAGTACCTGGGACTCAACATACAAGACGGGGATGACGCAATCTACCTCAGCGCCGCAAAATACACAGACACCATCGCTAAGCGCTTCGGACTAACTCCAGCTACCATCACCACGCCATATCGCTACACTGACGGAAGTCGCAAGGAAGCCTCCGCTCTGCTCAAACCCGCCGGGATTCGCGACTACCAACGAAAGCTAGGCTGTCTACTCTTCGCAGCCGTTACTTGCCGACCGGACCTATCTTACTCAGCTAGCCAACTCGCCACCTACCTCAAGAAGCCTGAAGCAGATCACATGGCCGAACTCGACCGCGCTCTTCACTACCTCGTCAGCACCCCTACAATCGGCCTAACCTACCACGAAAACGGAACTACGACGCACAAGCTAATCGGCTGCGTCGATGCTGATCACGCCGGCGACTCCGACAACAGGCGATCGCGCACCGGCTATATCTACCGACTCGAGCCTATCGGGCCTATCTCGTGGCAGTCGAGCAAACAGGAACTAATCGCCCTCTCCTCAGCTGAAGCAGAATATATTGCACTCTGCTCAGCCACCAAGGAAGGACTATACCTTAGCGAACTGCTGGAAGAAGCAAAGCTGGCCCAGTTACCCAGCTTCTCTCTGTTCTGCGACAACCAATATGCAATTCGCATAGAGAACAAGAACGGGTTCGCGAACCGAACGAAGCATATTGCCCTGCGATACTTCTTCGTGAAAGACGAGATCGAGTAGGGGAGACTCGAGCTATCCTACTGCCCCACGTCCGAGATGGCAACCGATTATTTGACCAAGAAGCTCGGAAAGCAGAAGCTCGAGTACTGCATGCTGCTGACTGGACAAGGCCACGTCACCAGCAACGACACTCTAGAAGTGAAGGGGAGTGTTGGAAACATGTAATTTAACGCTTCCTATGTGTCGTAACATCGAACCATAAACGAGGCAAGCTACAGCGGAGCAATGGCGAGTCAACCGAGGAGGTTGAATGAAAAGTAACAGCCGGATGCTACGCGAAGGTCAAAAGTCAGGGACCTTTGACTCGACAAATACAGCGCGGCAGCAAGTACAAGCAACTGACTCGATATTGAACAGTTGCCCGAGTCGTCACTGTATCGAACCACAACAGCAAAACAGTTAGTTGCACCCCTTCATATTCCTTGTAATCTTATAAAAGCCTTTGTATTATTTTGCTATAATCAATCTATCTTGCTCTCACACACTAGTGCAAGGTGGTTCAACAAGTCTACTATACGCTTCCGCTATTACATTATTCTTACTCAGGGTCTTAGCCTTGTAAACGATTCTAAGGGCTTTTCTCAGCCCAACATGGTGAGTGCCCAGGCAAGGAGTATCCAGAGAATTGTGGCCAAGAGAAGTGAGAATGGATGGGATTCACTATAGGAGGGCAAGTACAAATACCGTAAGAACAATCCAAAGATGGGCATAAAAGTGCACCACCAACAAAGATACTTATAACACTAATCTACACAGGTACCATACAATATCAAACACGGTAGGCTCGAACGAGTCCTTCCTTGGCAACCACACGTACTTTCATATCAAATCAGATCTGATACTTCTCAATATTTGGGACCTCTTCGTCCTTCCACTCTCCGTTTGTCAACCTCGCATCCCCCTCGGGCACTCGGCATGAGTTGCTCATGTCTAACAACATGAGAAACCGAGGCAGCATGGCCTCTACCCGTTTGCTTGGTGCTAGTCTCAAGGAGGCTACTAACGTGGTGTTTACTGTAGACGGGCAGCCAGCTCCACTCTCGTTAGTATCACCTCCAGTTGCAGTTGTCCCCCTGTTGCTGGTTACGCTTTCACCATGTGATGTGACTATGAAAGGGGTATTCACAGGAGCCTGCCTCCTGTAATGGTTGCACGGTGCAGGGGAGAGCAACCGCTGCAGCCAGCCTATAACACCAACACTGCTGCTGCTGCTGCTGCTGCTGGTGCCGCTGGTACTGTCAGTGGTGCCATCGCTGGGTGGTAAGTGGAACATGGAAGGCGAAGCAGAGGAGGAAGGGAGAGAGCACCAGGCGCCTGGCGTGATGCTGTCAGGCTGTCGCTGCAGTAGCTCCCTGCAAGCAAGAACGGGAGGATGGGGCGGGGAGGATGGAGGACGGGTATAGGGGAGGATGAGTGGGATGTGGGAGGCGATGCATCACTGAAGGCAGGGAGAGAGCACCAGGCGCCTGGCGTGATGCTGTCAGGCTGTCGCTGCAGTAGCTCCCTGCAAGCAAGAACGGGAGGATGGGCGGGGAGCATGGAGGACGGGTATAGGGGAGGATGAGTGGGATGTGGGAGACGATGCATCACTGAAGGCAGGGAGAGAGCACCAGGTGACTGGCGTGATGCTGTCGGGCTGCCGCTGCAGTAGCTCCCTGCGAGCATGGGATGGGGATAATGGGAAGAGGGAGTGTGGGGTTACAGGAGGATGGTAAGAGGGATGAGAAGGGAGGGAAACCGAGGCAGCGAAGGCAGGGAGAGAGCACCAGGCGTCAGGGGTGATGCTGTCAGGCTGCCGTTGCAGTAGCTCCCTGCGAGCACAGGAGGGGGGTGCGAAGAGGAAGGGTGGGGAAACGGAAACAGGAAGATGGGTGTAAAGAAGGATGGAAATAGGGAAGGTGGGTGAGGGGGGATGGGGGTATGGAAGGATGGGAAGAGGTGAGATGGGGTGAAGGGAAGATGGGTGAGGGAAGACGAGGGTATGGACGGATGGGAAGAATGGGGTTACGTAAGGCAGAGGAGGGATAAAGAGGGTTGGAAGCTCCCTGTGATGAGTTACCCTAGTGAGACTCAATAGGTACACTTCAACACCAGAGTTCCCTGAACCTACAGTACCTGAACTAGGCAGAGGAGGGATAGGGAGGAGCAATGGCGTAGCTCCTTGTGATGGTTATCTTGGAGAGAGAGTCTTGAGGTATGTACTTGTAGGGTCTGAACTAGCACCCCGTGATTCACTATGATTGACTCGGTGCTTGGTTGACAGGGTTGACTTGGTTTACTGGGTTGACTTGGTTGACTGGGTTGACTAGGTTGACTTAGTTCACCGGGTTGACTCGGTTGACTTTGCTGACTTGGTTGACTAAAATGAGTGGGTTGACTAAAATGAGTGGGTTGACTGAGATGAGTGGGTTGACTGAGATGAGTGGGTTGACTGAGATGAGTGAGTTGACTGAGATGAGTGGGTTGACTGAGATGAGTGGGTTGACTGAGATGAGTGGGTTGACTTTTCTTGACTGGATTCCCTTGCTTGACTCGCTCTCGTACCTGTCAATCCTATCCAGAGTCGGTGAGCCGCGAGGAAACTTCTTGGCAAATAGGAAGACACCACTTGTGAAGGCCTCATCGAAAGGGTTGACTCTGAACTTCATTGGTGAAGGCATCTTAAAACGAGTCGTTCTTGAGGGAGTGCTGTGATGAGGGGATGGGGGAGGGGAGGGGGAAACAGTGGGTGCAGGGGAGGGGAGGAGAGGGGAGGCGAGGGACTATTGAGTTGACTCTGAACTCCACTGGTGAAGGCATCTTAAAACGACCCCACGGGGGGATGGGGGAGTCGGGGGATACAGGGGGTGCAGGGAGGGGAAGAGAGGGAAGGGATCGACTCAGAACTCCAGTGGTGACGGAATCATAAGAGGAATCGTTCATCTCGAGAGACAGCTGCAGTGGGGTGAGTGAGAGGGAGGCAAGGGGAGGGGGGAGCGGGTGGGCGGGGGATCATCTTAAGGAGGTAATACCCTGGGAGGAGGGGGAGGGGGAGAGGGGAGAGGGGGGGAAGAAACAGGGGAAAGCAGGAAGTGGGGGAAGCGGGAGTTGACGAGAAGGTGCAGGGAGGAAGGGGGAAAGGGGGAAGCAGCTAGATAGGACTCATCTGCATTGGAAAGAAGGGGAGGCGGAGGGATGGGGAAACAGGGGGAAGCAGGAAGTGGAGGGGGGAGGGAGCAGGTGAGACACTACCCTTCTGTTGTAACGCACCCTTCTACCAGTTGGCCGTGCCGCACCCCTGCCACTAGCAGCACCGGGCTGCCCTTTGCCATGCCATCACCGGGGACGCACCGGGCTGCCCTTGGCGAAAGTGGCGATGTGCAGACTGGCGTTGACGAGGGAGCGGTGGAAGCGGGGCGATTGGCTCTGTGTGTCACTAACCATCACCCCGAGATGCACCGTGAGAATGCCACGCTGCCACTAGCACCGCCACTACCCCTGCCAGGAGGGTGGTGAAGTTACCGGGCTGCCCTTGGCAAAGGTGGCGAAGTGCAAGCTGGTGTTCAGCAGGGACCGGTTAAAACACGCTGTCTGGCACGCAACGGTGCTGAAGTAGTGCTCGTGCGAGTCGATGACATCAGGAGCTCAAGCAGTGCTCCCCACGGTGCTCATCCGAGTCAATGTGGGTGGTGACCTACGGTAGCCCTCTCACCCAGTGGCACCCACACACTAATACGTACTGGGCTGCCCTTGGCGAAGGTAGCGAAATGGAGACTAGCGTTGAGGAGGGAGTGGTTGAAGCGGGGCGCGGGGCAGGCGACGGTGCTGAAGTAGTGCTCGTCTGAGTCGATGACGTCAGCCATGTACATGAGGATGCGGCGTGGCCAGCTGGCGGGCTCCCATAGGACGTAGCGCAGGAAGGGACGAGAGGCCTTGATCCAGTTGCAGCCTAGAGAGCGGGGAGGGGAGGGGGGGATGGAAGGTGAGGAGGAGGATTTAAGCGCTGGGCTCCCATAGGACTCACTGGATGAGGAACGAGTGGTGGGCTCCTGTGGGAGGGAGGGGGGGGGAGGGGGTGTGGAGCGGGGGCTCAAGCGGTGGGCTCCCATAGGATGTAGCGCAGGAAGGGGCGCGATGCCTTGATCGTTGCAACCTGGAGGGGTGGGGAGGGAAAGGGGGGGTGGGGAGGGGGAGGGGAGAAGGGGGAGTGAATTGAGGGTTGAAGGTTGAAACGTGCAGCGGAGAAGTCAAGAGGTGGGCTCCCATAGCGCAGGAAGGGGTGAGACGCCTTGATCCAGTTGCAGCCTGGAGAGGTGCGAGTGGAGGGGTGGAAAGGGCGGGCCGCACATCCCGCATGCGCTTGTGCCTTGAAGTCAACTCAAGTCAACTTGAGTCAACACGGGTCAGCAGGCCGCACATCCCGCATGAGCACCGTGCGTTGAAGTCGATTCGAGTCAACTCAGGTCAGCTCAAGTCAACGCAAGTCAACAGAAGTCAGCACTGGTCAACTCACCCATGAAAACATGGAAGCGAATGGCAGCAGGCCGCACATCCCGCATGAGCACCGTGCGTTGAAGTCGATTCGAGTCAACTCAGGTCAGCTCAAGTCAACGCAAGTCAACAGAAGTCAGCACTGGTCAACTCACCCATGAAAACATGGAAGCGAATGGCAGCAGGTCGCACGTCCCGCATGAGCTTGTGCCCTCTGTGCGCCTGGAATAGCGCCCTGTCCAGATTCACTGCACGCTGGCGGTAGCTGGAGGGCAGAGGGAGGAAGGGAGAGTGTGGGTGGTAGTGTGTGTGGAGGAGGGTGGGGAATTGGGAAAGGAAGAGCGCCCTGTCCAGATTCACTGCACGCTGCCGGTAGCTGGAGGGCAGAGGGAGGAAGGGAGAGTGTGGGTGGTAGTGTGTGTGGAGGAGGGTGGGGAATTGGGAAAGGAAGAGCGCCCTGTCCAGATTCACTGCACGCTGCCGGTAGCTGGAGGGCAGAGGGAGGAAGGGAGAGTGTGGGTGGTAGTGTGTGTGGAGGAGGGTGGGGAATTGGGAAAGGAAGAGTGCCCTGTCCAGATTCACTGCACGCTGCCGGTAGCTGGTGGGCAGAGGGAGGAAGGGAGAGTGTGGGTGGTAGTGTGTGTGGAGGAGGGTGGGGAATTGGGAAAGGAAGAGCTCCCTGTCCAGATTCACTGCACGCTGCCGGTAGCTAGCGGGCAGAGGAAGGGGGAAGGCGGGAGGGGCGGGATGCGGTGTTAGGACTTGTGAAGGGGTAAGGGAGAGGGGGAGGGCGTGGGAAGGGGAAGAGAAGCGGGAGGGGAAGGGGGAAGGGGGGAGGGGAGTGGGGGTGGCGGCATGGGGTGTTAGAGCTTGTTTCATTCGTGCCCTTCCTTGCTTCTGTCTGGGGCAGTGGGGAAAGGGAACGACAGAAAACGGGGGGAGTGGAAGTTTCCTTGTGCCTACTCGTCCAGATTCATTGCGTGGTGGCGGCATGTGGGGTTCCAGGCAGGTGCACTGAGAGAAGCATGCTTGGGAAACTTCTTAGTCAACTCGAAATTCGCAATATATACTTCGGCCAATGTAGGGAGTATGAAAAGCAATGCGGGCATTCTAAGAGAGACGCAAGAGGGAGGGGAAGGTGAGGTAGGGAGATGCGGAACGGCAATCCGTTGCAGTGTGAATATAGTCACTGTGACAGTAACGATGTGTAGGATGAAGCAGTCACGAAGGATTGTTACAACTGACGCGTACAAACGTGTGACTATAACGGGGACACTAGACTCGTACGAGGCCAGGCGGCGACTCACTCGAATCGGTGCTCGACGCTGTGGTCCATGAACGAGAGGCTGCGATCCACGTGCGACAAGAGAGAGCATGTCTGGAGGGAGAGTGCGAAAGAAGTGGGAAGAGCAGGGTGAGAGTGTGAGGGGAGTGGGGAGAGTGAGAACGAAGAGGGTGAGAGAGAGGGTGAGGGGGTGAGGAGAATGGGGACGAGGCGGGTGAGGAGGAGGATGAGGGGTGGGTAGGGGCTGGGATATGGATCAAAGGAATGGAGAGCGAGTGCAACGACGTTCTCATAATGCCGGTCGTCGTGAGTGCATAAGAACGTGCTTTGAGCCATTTGTGAGTGCGAAGCACGCGCGGCCAAGTTGCATTGGTCAGAGGCGAAGTTGTGGGGAAGAACAGCGATTGCGAGGGGGGAAAGCGGTCAACCAAAGACCCCTTAAAACCTACCAAAGCGTCGCGTTTCACTCACCATCTTGTGACATTAACGGGTAAGCCGCAGCGCTCAGGTTGATAAACCAGTCCCACCGTGCGCTATATGCACATGCGCGAGGCGCAGCGTTGCGGACAGCAGCGTCGACCCCTGGTACGTGACTACTTCGGGTTCCAGAATCACGACAATCTTTGTCTTTAGCGCGAGAGTTTCCTCCGGGTCGTCGATATGGGCGACGTAGTGGTTCAACGGGTGGTAGATGGTGAGTAGGAGCCGCACCACGCGCGCGCTGTCGTTTTTCGCGCAGAGAATGCCGTACGCCAGGGGGGGAGTACCGCCGCCGCCTTTTCCACCAGTTGGACTATACGCGCTGTCTTTTTCCCGCCACCATTCCGTCGCTTCCCCCGCCGCGCCGCTCTCGCCGCCGGCAGCGCCCGCGTCATCTGCCGGCCGTTCCACTACCACCGACACGGACGGCTGTAGCGCCCTACCGCCTGTAGCCCCCCCCCCCCGCCGCTGGCGCCGCGCGCCTGAAGCCCCGCGAGCACGAGCGCTTCGACGGCGTCGCGGTCGGGCGGGCAGGCGGGTCAGAGGCGGGGGTTGGCGGAAAAAAGGAGGAGATCGCCGAAGAGAAGCGCGCGGAGCACGATGGCGGGGAGCGTGCAGCGGAAGGCGGAGATGACGAGCGCGGAAGCGGAGTGGGCGGAGGGTTTGGAGGAAGGGGAGAGCTGGTGGAATGTGTCGCGCGGGGAGGTGGCGTTTCCCTCGGGTAACCAGCCCATGGTTAAGACACACGTGTTCCTCGGGGAGCTGTGCGAAAGGTGGCTGGAGACGAATTCCTGCCAGTTGCTGAGACTGACGTGGGTGGGGTGACCAAATTATATGGGACTGCGAAATGCTATGCGGGGCTAAAAAGTCCCCACTTTTTGCGTAGGAAAGGCTGCGGAGCAAGCTTCGCTCCTGAAACGCACCACTTGTGGTATAGCACCCGTGCACATGACATTGATCGAAGATGACGATGATGATGAAATGTGAATGTTTTATGTGTTTATTATCGGAAACGTTGGAAACAATGGCGTAATTCCTCATCCTTAGGATATTAATCATAATGCTGATCAGTGTTCTACTTTTAGGCAGACTGATTGCTCAGTTTTATTTGTGTTTGAACCCTGAATTAAGGTAACAGTGTTTTTCAACAGACGACACTGAAGATAAGTGTTACTATCCCAAGAGACACTGTGCTCAGGGTACCCAAAAACCAATACCCTGCTCATACCGTATTTACTTTCTACAATTGCCACATGGTTGTTTCATGGTGACAAAAATGTTATACGCCCTAACAGGTCTTACAACAAGAGGGCAAGAAGCCCACTCATGGAGCTTTATAAGCATCCCCGCGTCCGTGGCTGAACATCAGGTAAGAAACAACCTAAAGAACCCCTCAAAATCATAACATTGAAAAACTATACGTCATCTATAGCTCCACATAATCCCCAAAACCAGCTGCTATGCACCAGGGCCTGCATCCGCCCGTCATAGTCACAATTCTATATCCTGTCAATGTCTTCATCCTCGAATTCGATATAGTCATCTCCGCCGTCTTCACCCTCTTCGTCCATGCCTCCGGCAATACCCTCGTTCAACCTGATATTATCCGGCAATTCTCCATACGCCTTCAAAAGGCGCGCCTCGTCCGGTTGATACTTCAGAATGACGTCGGCCTTGTCGTCTTGGTAATCTCGCAGCCCAACCAGGATAATATCTCCTGCAGCGATCCACACCTTCTTATGCATCTTGCCTCGGATGTGGGAGAGCCGCTTAATCCCGTCGATGCAAAGCGCCTCGCAGCGACCGTTACCGAGCATACGCATCACCTGAGCGTATTCCTGCCCATCCTCCTTGAAAACCAGCTCGCGCTTCTCGTCATCGGCCTCGTTCTTTCCTCGCTTCCTGTTCTTACCTCCCTTTCCCTTGTTCTTCGGCATGGCTGCAGATCAGTAAGACCGAAATCCCTGATAGGATTTTAACAGTTAACAAACGGCGGGGCACGAATCGCGCTGGTTAAGACAGAATCACTGGACGGTCGGACTAGGCCTTGCTGGTGGGTATCTGAGCCTAGCAACGCTCAAAGAGAACCAAACCCTAGCTTTCTGTCTTGAAATCTCTCGTCACAAGCAACCACCGCTCGGATAACCAAACCCAGATAACTACAGTGAAATTATATAGGCAGTGAAAGCATATGAAACCCCGTTCTGAATCGAGACGAGTGGTTCTGTAACGCGCTAGCGAGAGCCTGTTCTTGCTCGATATAGCCCTGCTTCAGTTAGTACAGAATTGCTGGTTTCGTTGGCATATACCTCTTATACATATTCTAGACAAGTCAGGGAGTCACGACTGCCCAACCAAGCGAATCGGTCTGATTTTTCCGTGGCTGAGATTCGCAGAACAAAACGTTTGACGAGCCTGTTATCAAGTCTGGTTGAAGAGACCAGACGGTGCTGTGGTGAACTCGGCTACCTTGAGCCCCGGGCAGACCTGGGACATGCCTACCATACCTTGTCAAGGTTCGGTCTAGTTGCCCAGAACACGTTTCTTCCCAGCCTCTATACTATCGTACATGATTCGATGGCACATGTTCATGTCTGGCCCCGGTTCGGGTAAAGCCTGATTGGCTTGACAGGAACCTCGTGTCGCGTTGAACCCTTGGCATTTCAAGGAGGACATGTCAGCCCGCCATCACGACACTTGTGATTTGGGTTGTGCTGTGCGTTCTCGTACGATCAGATGAGTTACAAAGTGTTACAAAGCGGTACAGCCTCACCCCCTCAACCTTCCTCCTCCCCTCGCGGCACAACATTCGTCCAACAAAAACCACACAAACCGCCCCCTCGCCCCTCTCGTCACGAAAATCGCCCCTCATTGCCCCCTGATTGAAATCGCCCCACCACATCTTGCTCCCTTGCCCTGGAATAGACCAGTTCTGCTGAGGGTTTTGTGGAGCCCTTGCTCTAACACAGGCTGCGTGCAGCGCGAAGCACGCATACTTCACATCGCGTGAGGAGTCTAGAAATAATAATTCACTGTTCACGCTTCGCCATCCTCAGTCCAGTGATTCATACAAACTCTTGCTCCTTGCCCAGCCAGGGTGGGTCAAGTTGTAGTGTGCAAAGACGTCGACAATCTAAAACATGAGAACTCGAAGTGACATACGTCAGGATACGGTTCTCCGACAGCCCGTAATTTCGAAGTCAGGAGCAACTTGAGAGTGCATGTGCAAATGACGCCCACCGAACCGGCGCAAGTTCTCTAGTCGTCGACTAGACCTTCTATTTCCGTCAAACCAACACATTTCGAACGGATTGATTTTTCCAGGATGTTTCAGCAGCGGATCTGTAGACTCGTTGAGATGAGCTGATGCTATTAGAAACGTTGTGAATAGCTCCTCGATCGCGCGCAATCACGCTCGATTGCGATAAGTTGTGCGTTTCAGGAGCGAAACTTGCTTCGCAGCCTTTTCCACCCGATAGCCCCGCGTAATATTTCCCAGCCTTTCCCACTGCAGTCTCATATGATTTGGTCACCCCACGGACGTCATTCTTAGCATCTCGCAGGAATTCGTTTCCAGCCACCTTCGCTCACCTCTCGCCATGGGCTGGTTACCCGAGGGAAACGCCACCTCCCCGCGCGACCCCTTCCATCAGCTCTCCCCTTCCGCCAAACCCTCCGCGCACTCCGCTTCCGCGCACGTCATCTCCGCCTTCCGCTGCACGCTCCCCGCCATCGTGCTCGGCGCGCTTCTCTTCGGAAATCTCCTCCTTTTCTCCGCCAACCCCCGCCTCTGGCCCGCCTGCCCGCCCGACCGCGACGCCGTCGACGCGCTCGTGCTCGCGGGGCTACAGCCGGGCGGCGCTAGCAGCGGCGGGGGATTGCAGGCCGTAGGGACGCTACAGCCGTCCGTGTCGGTTGTAGTCGAACGGCCGGCAGGTGGCGCGGGCGCTGCCGGCGGCGAGAGCGCCGCGGCGGGGGAAGCGGCGGAATGGTGGCGGGAAAAAGACAGCGCGTATAGTCCAATTGGCGGAAAGGGCGGCGGAGGTACCCCTCGCCTGGCGTACGGCATCCTCGGCGCGAAAAACGACAGCGCGCGCGTCGTGCGCCTCCTACTCGCCATCTACCACCCGTTGAACCACTACGCCGTCCATATCGACGACCCGGAGGAAACTCTCGCGCTAAAGACAAAAATTGCAGCCCACCCCGCGCTGTCGAGCCGCGCGAATGTTGTCGTTATTCCGGACCCCGAAGTAGTCACGTACCAGGGGTCGACGCTGCTGTCCGCGACGCTGCGCCTCGCGCATGTGCATATAGCGAGCGGCGCGCAGTGGGACTGGTTCATCAACCTGAGCGCTGCGGACTACCCGTTAATGTCACAAGACGGTGAGTGTAACGAAAAGCTTTGGTACGTTCCGGGGGTTATTTTGTTGATTCTTTCTCACGTCCTCGCGCGTGCTTCGCACTCACACAATGGCGCGAAGCACTCTCCGTGATCTCTTACCACAAGACGGGCGAATAAGATGTAATAGGCTCAGTCCTCGCCTACGCGCGCTCATTTCCTCTGCACCATATTTCACCCCCCTCACCCACTCACCCTCCTCACCCTCACCCTCACTTTCCTTACTTTCCAAACAGGCTGTATCTTTTTCCGCACGTGAATTAAGGTTTGAGGCGCCTTTCTAAAAACATACTTGACCTCCTCACCCTCACTCTCTCTCCAGACATGCTGTATCTGCTTTCACACTTCCCTCTTGCCCCCCTCACAAGCCTCACTCTCTAGACATGCTGTATTTGTTTTCGCAGGTGAATTCTAGGCAACGTACTCACCCTTCTCACCCCCACCCCTCCCACACTCACTCTCCAGACATGATGATTATGTTTTTGCACGTGGATCACTCATAAAGCTTGCTCTCTTCACCCTCACCCCGCCCCTTCACTTTCCCACCTCACTCTCCAGACATGCTCTATCTCTTTTCGCACGTGGATCGCAGCCTCTCGTTCATGGACCACAGCGTCGAGCACCGATTCGAGTGAGTCACTCTTGTGTCCCCGTTATAGCCACATGCGTTTACTCTTCTGCTTTCGCACGCGGACCGGAACCACTCTTTCATGGACCACAGCGTCGAGCACCGATTCGAGTGAGTGGTTCTGCTATTGTGTCCCCGTTATAGTCAGACGCATGTACTCGTCCGTTTTCACGCGCTTGTATCTGTCTGGTTTCCCATGTTACACATCGTTAATGCGACAGTGACTATACATTCACACTGCAACGGATTGCCGTTCGTCATCGCCCTACCATCACCTTCCCCTCCCCCTTGCGTCTCTTGCGTTTCTTGATATACCCGCCTTGCTTTTCATAACTCCTCCCTCCAGTGGCCGAAGTAGCTACTGTGAAATTCGAGTCGACTATGAAGTCTCTCAAGCATGCTTCTCTCAATGCACTGGACCCCCACGTGCCGCCACCATGCAACGAACCCTTATGCGCCTGCACAAGAAAATCTCCATTCCTGCCGTCCTCTCTCCTTCCCCTTCCCCACCTACCCTGGACAGAACCAAGGACAGGGCGCGAATGAAACTAGCTCCAACACCTCATGCCGCCACTCTCCAACTCTCCACCGCCCCTCCCCCTTTCCTTTTCCCCTCCCTCCCTTCACTTCCCCTTCTCGCCCGCCACAAGTCCGCGTCCCCCGCCACTCCAGATCCCGCCTCTTTCGGTGAACCTGGACAGGGCGCTGTTCCCTCTCAAGCCCTCCACAAATCCCCCAACCCCCATCCCCCCTTCCCAATCTCCTTCCTCTACGTGCCAGCGACAGCCAGCGTGCAGTGAATCTGGACAGAGCGCTCTTCCAGGCGCACCGAGGGCACAAGCTCCCTCTACTCCCTCCCCACCCCAAACTCTCCTTTCCTCCACCACGCACACAAACCCCTCTTTCCCTCCCCCTCCAGCTACCGCCAGCGTGCAGTGAATCTGGACAGGGCGCTCTTCCAGGCGCACAGAGGGCACAAGCTCATGCGGGACGTGCGGCCTGCTGCCACTCGCTTCCACGTCTTCATGGGTGAGTCGCCCTGTGCTGACCCGTGTTGACCTGCGTTGACTCGCCCCTTCAAGGCCAACAGGATTCCCTATGGGAGCCCGCCAGCAGAACCTTCCCTCCTCCACCGTGACGGGAGCACACCACCTGCACCTTCCTTGCCCCCTTCCCCTTCCCCATCCACTCCCCCTCCGCTCCCCCTTCCCCTCCCCTCCGCTCTCCGCATCACGGCCTCTCGCCCCTTCCTTCAGCTTCTCCGCTTCCCGTGGTTTTTTTGAGAATTCTCAAAAGTACCCTGCAGCATTCTCCTCTCCCTTCCCCCGCCCTCCCCCTCGTCCTTGTGTGCACACCACCTGCACCTTGCATGCCCCCTCCGCTCCCCATCTACTCGCCCCTCTCTAGGTTGCAACTGGATGAAGACATTTCGGCCCTTCCTGCGCTATGTCATATGGAAGCCCACTGCTTGAACTCTCTGCTGCACCTTCCACCCGCCTTCCCCTTCCTCCCTTCCCCACCACAACTCTCTAGGCTGCAACTGGATCAAGGCGTCGCGCCCCTTCCTGCTGCTTCGTGTTGACTTGCCATCTCTCCTTCCTCTCCTATCCCCTCCCCTCTCCCCCCTCTTCCCCCTTCCTCTTCCCCCCTCCCCTGCACCCACACTGGGCAGGCTGCAACTGGATCAAGGCCTCTCGCCCCTTCCTGCGCTACGTCCTATGGGAACCCGCCAGCTGGCCGCGCCGCATCCTCATGTACATGGCTGACGTCATCGACTCGGACGAGCACTACTTCAGCACCGTCGCCTGCCAGACAGCCCGCTTCAACCACTCGCTGCTGAATTCCAGCCTGCACTTTGCTACCTTTGCCAAGGGCAGCCCGGTGAGTATCCATGTGTGCGTCCCTCTGGATCCCACTTCATCGTGTGTTGTGTGCCTGTCATATGTCGACTCAGACGAGCACTACTTCACCACCGTCGCCTGCCACTCGCCCCGCTTCAGCCGCTCCCTCCTGAACGCTAGTCTGCACTTCGCCACCTTTGCCAAGGGCAGCCGGTACGTATCCGTGTGTTTGAGTGCCTTGCAATCTAAGCCAGGGCCTGATAGAGTAGGGAGTGTGGAGGCACCGTTGCTTGCCACTCGCCCCGCTTCCCTCTGCTCCCTTCTTCCCGTCCGCTGCACCCCTGATTACCACATCCCCCCTCCTCCCCACAAGGCAGCGCTCCCTCTATGATGCCTTCACCAGTGGAGTTCTGTCTGAGGCAACAAAGACGTCCCTCTCTTCCCCGCTCGCCCCCTCCCCTGCACCCCCTGCTTCCCCCTCCCCCTCGTCCTCCCCCAACCCTCCCCCTCCCCCTCGTCCTTCCCCAACCCTCCCCCTCCCCCTCGTCCTCCCCCTCCGCGCCCCTCCTCTCCCCTCCCCCCATGGCAGCACTCCCTGGAGATGAACGACTCGTTTTACGATGCCTTCACCACTGCACCCCCCTTCAACCGCTCTTTCTCGATCCCTCTCCACCCCTCACCACCCCTCCCCACCCCTTCCCGCCTCTCCCTCCTCCCCCTCCCATGGCAGCACAGCACTCCCTGGAGATGAACGACTCGTTATACATGCCTTCACCAGTGAAGCCCCGTGTCGAGCCGTCCACTCCCCTGCACCCACTGCGCCCCCCCACCCCTCCCCTCCTCTCCCCTCCCCCCATGGCAGCACCCCCTGGAGATGAACGACTCCCTCTACAATGCCTTCACCAGTGTGCCCCCCTTCAACCGCTTACCTCCTCCCCACCCCTCCCAACCCCTCCCCACCCCTCCCCTCCTCTTCTCCCCTCCCCCCATGGCAGCACTCCCTCGAGATGAACGACTCTTTCTACGGTGCCTTCACCAGTACGCCCCACTTCAAGCGCTCTTTCTCCACCCTTACCCCACCCTGTACCGCCTCTCCCTCCTCGTTCTCCCCCCACTACAGCACTCCCTGGAGATGAACGACTCTTTCTATGAGGCCTTCACCACTGGCGTCTTCCTCTTTGCCAGGAAGTTTCCTCGCGACTCACCAACTCTAGATAGGATTGACAGGTGCGACCGAGTCAACCAATGCAATCACGTCAAGCAAGGCAATCCAGTCAATAAAAGTCAACCCACTCATCTCACTCAACCGAGTCAACAAAGTCAACCCAGCCAAGCCAATCCAATCAACTGGCCAAGTCGAAGACGCCACACACGGCGTTTCAAGGTGCCCCAAGGCAAGCGAACTGAGTCAACCAAGTCAATCGTAGTGAAGCAAGGGGTTCTGTGAATGCAGAGAGCTTTGTATGTGACACTGTAAGTATTCGAGGTGCCTCCAGACTCTCTTCCGGATAGTTCATCACAGGAAGCTACATCCGTTTCCCTCCTCCACCTCACCTTACCCCATCTTCACTCTTCCCTCGCCCTTCCTGCGCTGACACTCCCTTGCTTGCAGGGAGCTACTGCAGCGGCAGCCTGACAGCATCACACCCGGCGCCTGGTGCTCTCTCCCTGCCTCCACTGCTTCGCCTTCCACGTTCCACCCACCACCCAGTGATGGCACCACTGACAGCACCGGCGGCACCACTAGCAGCAGCAGCACCAGCAGCAGCAGCAGTGTTGGTGTTTTTGGCTTGCTGCAGCGGTTGCTATCCCCTGCACCGTGCAACCCTCACAGGAGGCAGGCTCCTGTGAATACCCCTTTCATAGTCACATCACATGGTGAAACCGAAACAAGCAACAGGGGGACAACTGCAACTGGAGGTGATACTAACGAGAGTGGAGCTGGCTGCCCGTCTACAGTAAACACTGAGTTAGTAGGCTCCTTGAGACTAGCACCAAGCAAACGGGTGGAGGCCATGCTGCCTCGGTTTCTCAAGTTGCTGGACACAAGCAACTCGTGCCGAGTGCCTGAGGGGGATAGCAGGTTGACAGAGGGAGAGTGGAAGGACGGAGAGGTTCCAAACATTGAGAAGTATCAGATTTGATTTGAAACCCACATGTGGTTTGCCAGGGACTCACTTGAGCCCTTGCATGTAATATATGTATGGTAATAAGCTTGCTGGTCTATTGAGCTACGAACTTTGAATGGTGTCTACATAATAAGTGTCAAGAGTAGGTTAACAAATTGTGCATGGAACAGTTGTTGAGATTATGCTACCGTATCTTTTCTATGCCTTTTTTTCCATTGTTTATGGATTGTAGGTGACGAGTTGTCCGCCCTTGTATCATTTCTGGAGGTGTTGGCTTCGTTCTATGTTTTTTAGGGTTTTAATCCCCCCTCTTCCCCCCCTACGTGTTTACAACGTATAGATATAGCCGTTATATCTAGTGGAAAGAAAAGATATTGTGTACATGGATCACTCTAAACCGAAGTTTATTATGGTAATAATAAACTTGTAACGAACCGAAAACGCAGCAGCAGCTTTCGTCGGCCCCTTCCAGGCAGCCTCATCTCTCATCCTCTCCTACGTGTTCAACTCTTGCCCCGTCACCATGTCGCGGAAGTAGTCGGTTTTCGAGGCGCGTCACCACTGCTAGTAGGGGAAGTGGTAGTAGCAGATCAATTCATCCGTGCCGCAAATGCCGCCGCCGCCAAAGCCAACTGCGATGCAGCCGCGAGCGTGGCTTGCACTCTCCGCCGCTCGTTGGCTCGCTGCCCTCATCTCTCCATGCCTGCGCAAGTCACGATCAACGCCACGCAAAGCCCGTCCCTCCTCTCGCAATGCTTACTACTACCAGTGCGGTAATATAGTACCGGAATGCTTCTCTGGTTTGTACCTCCCTTCCTTCCCGCAGCCCGGTGTGATTGCGATACTATTACCATGCGACTGATATTAAGTGGGCAACCACATGTACGTAGACGCTCATGGTTGGACTGGCAACGACAGGTCGGAGGCAGCCATTAGTACAGGTAATACCTGCAGCTAGTAATTACTACCCTGTTAACAGCGAGCAATGCCTCTCAACCTCCCTTTTCGTACCTCGCAAACCTCACTGGAACTATCACGTGGTTTTGCACTGCCACAATGCGACTGAATAGCACTCGTGCGACACGGCACGAGCGCCGCGTGTTCTACACGTGGCGACACCGTTTCTTGGTGTGCGCGCTTGGAGCCGATGCTGCGTTTTTAGGTATACAGCCTGCGCAGGATGGGAGAGACCCATCGTCACAAAGAGGCATGCCTCACCGCTTCGCGCGAGGTGGTGGGTTCAGCGTTGTGCAGCCGACTTTTGGCTGCAAGCTCTGCGCAAAGGCGAAGGCGAAGGTACTCGAAGACCCCGGGGGAGCAGTAACAGTAGTAGGTGTCAACAGCCATGGTTTTGAGTCGACTCAAAGCACGGTACGGTACCCGAAGGCCCCGGGGGAGCAGTAACCAACCAATCCGAGCAAAGGTGTGGACATTTATGGCGATGAATGAACCATGAATAAACCCCACCCAATCCGATCGAGCGGTGGCGGTACTTGTGTTCCTTGGCCCGTGCCGCCGCCAGCTGTACAGCCCACCCCACACTGCGCGATGATGCTGTGGGGTCCTGGGTGGAGATTGGGTCCTGGGTGGAGATTGGGTCCTGGGTGGAGATTGGGTCCTGGGTGGAGATTGGGTCCTGGGTGGAGATTGGGTCCTGGGTGGAGATTGGGTCCTGGGTGGAGATTGGGTCCTGGGTGGAGATTGGGTCCTGGGTGGAGATTGGGTCCTGGGTGGAGATTGGGTCCTGGGTGGAGATTGGGTCCTGGGTGGAGATTGGGTCCTGGGTGGAGATTGGGTCCTGGGTGGAGATTGGGTCCTGGGTGGAGATTGGGTCCTGGGTGGAGATTGGGTCCTGGGTGGAGATTGGGTCCTGGGTGGAGATTGGGTCCTGGGTGGAGATTGGGTCCTGGGTGGAGATTGGGTCCTGGGTGGAGATTGGGTCCTGGGTGGAGATTGGGTCCTGGGTGGAGATTGGGTCCTGGGTGGAGATTGGGTCCTGGGTGGAGATTGGGTCCTGGGTGGAGATTGGGTCCTGGGTGGAGATTGGGTCCTGGGTGGAGATTGGGTCCTGGGTGGAGATTGGGTCCTGGGTGGAGATTGGGTCCTGGGTGGAGATTGGGTCCTGGGTGGAGATTGGGTCCTGGGTGGAGATTGGGTCCTGGGTGGAGATTGCCAGGTCCGTGACAGTAACGTCGCCGATCCACACCACCCCACATTCGCAGATCCACTCCACCCCACATTCGAGGTCCTAGCTGGAGATTGGTCCGTGACAGTAACCACCAGCATGCAGCGAACCTGGACAGTGCCTTGCAAGTTCCAACATGTGCAGAGCAGGCGCAAGGGAATCTCCTACGTCTTCCTCTGTCGGCGCCCATCCCCCACGTGCCTCAGGCAGAACCAGCACAGACGGCACAAATGACACAGTTCTTAACACTCCTCTCTTTCTCCTCTCCTCATCCCCTCCTCCTCTCCTCTCCCCCTCCCCTCCCCCTCTCCTCTCCCCCTCCCCTCCCCCTCTCCTCTCCCCCTCCCCTTCCCATATCCTCTCCCCCTCTCCTTCCCATATCCTCTCGTCCTCCCCTCCCCTCTCCTCTCCACCTCCCCTCCCCCTCTCCTCCCCCTCCCCTCCTCAACTCTCCTCCCCCTCCCTTCCACCTTTCCTCTCCCCCTCCCCTCCCCTCTCCCTCTCCTCTCCCCCTCCCCTCCCCTCTCCATCTCCTCTCCCCCTCACCTCCCCATCTCCTCTTTCCCTCCCCTTCCCTTCCTCGTGAACACAACCCTCTCTTTCTCCCCATCCGCCCCGCCCTCTCGTCTGCCCGCCAGCTACCGGCAGCATCCAGCGAATCTGACAGAGCTCTGGTTCAGGCGCACACAGGGAACAACCTGCCCCTACTCTCTCCGCAACCCTCCCACAACCCCCTTCCTCCACCCTCACTCTGCCTACCGGCAGCATCCAGTGAATCTGACAGAGCTCTGGTTCAGGCGCACACAACCCTACTCTCCCTACTCTCTCCGCAAACCTGCCACGACCGCCTTCCTCCGCCCTCCCTCTTCCCTCCAGCTACCGCCAGCGTGCAGTGAATCTGGACAGGGCGCTGTTCCAGGCGCACGGAGGGCACAAGCTCCCTCTACTCCCCCAACCCCCCCACACAACTCCTCCTCTTCCCTCCACATCCTCCCGCTCTGCTCGCCAGCTACCGCCAGCGTGCAGTGAATCTGGACAGGGCGCTCTTCCAGGGCGCCGAGGGCACAGCCCCCCCCTACTCCCTCCCCAACCCTCCCACAACCCCCTTCCTCCGCCCTCCTCTGCCCGCCTGCTACCGGCAGCGTGCAGTGAATCTGGACAGGAAGCTCTTCCTTCCCCAACCCCCCACCCTCCCCACACTCTCCCCCCATCCCTAACCCTTCTCCTATCTGCTCGCTAGCTACCGCCCAGTGAAGCAGGACAGGGCGCACAGAGAGCACACGCTCCCCATACTCCTTCCCCCTCTTCCTCACAACTCCCCCCTCACCCCACTCCTTCCTCCCCCCGCCCCCCCCCCCCCCACCCCCCCCCCCCCCCCTCTCATCCCCCACCCGTACCCATTCTCTGCTCTGCTTGCCAGCTACCGGCAGCGTGCAGTGAATTTGGACAGAGCGTTGTTCCAGGCGCACAGAGGGCACAAGCCCCCCTTGCTCATTGCGCAATCCCCCCTCTTTCCTTCCCCCTTATGTCCCCTCCCCCACCAGCTACCGGCAGCGTGCAGTGAATCTGGACAGGGCGCTCTTCCAGGCGCACAGAGGGCACAAGCTCATGCGGGACGTGCGGCCCGCTGCCACTCGCTTCCACGTCTTCATGGGTGAGGTGACTCGCGTTGACTCGCGTTGAATCGCGTTGACTCGCGTTGACTCGCGTTGACTCGTGTAACTTCAACGCACAGTGCTGATAAGGGACGTGCTGCCCGCTGCCGTCGCTTCTATGTCTTCATGGGTGAGTCAACTCGCGTTGACCCGCATTGGTGCGGCCTTCTGCCGATAGTTGACTTCAATGCATTCGTGAATACTCGCCGCGCACTCCCACCGTGAGTAACTCCCACCGTGCTTCGTCTGTGCTGCATCTCACCCCTTCTTGTTGCCTCATCTGCCAAACAGCCTGCAAGGCTAGCAGCTTGCCATCTTTTCCTGCCGCCTGCCCTTTCACTTTCCATTTCGTACCACCCTCCCCCCACCCCCGCCTGCTCCTGCCTCCGACTGACCTTCCATCTCCTCCATCCTCCGCCCTTCCCACTTGCACCCCTCCTGTCGGATCCTCTCCCCCCTTTCTCTTGCGCACCTCTGCACTCGTATCCGCGTATTCCCCCTCCTTCCCCATTCACACCTCAACACTGCGCAGCCTGCAATTGGATCAAGGCATTTCGCGCCCCTCACAGGCAGCCATGAGCGCCCTGACAGTCAATCTGTCATCTCGCTGGCCCCCATTGCTTCTTATTGGCTTGTCATCCCCCTCCCCTCCCCTTCTCTCCCCTCCCCTCCCCTCCCCTTCTCTCCCCTCCCCTCCCCTCCCCTTCTCTCCCCTCCCCTCCCCTCCCCTTCTCTCCCCTCCCCTCCCCTTCTCTCCCCTCCCCTCCCCTTCTCTCCCCTCCCCTCCCCTCCCCTTCCCTCCCCTCCCCTCCCCTCCCCTCCACTCCACTCCGCTCCCCTCCCCTCCCCTCCACTCCACTCCCCTCCCCTCCCCTTCACCTCCCCTCCTCTCCTCTCCCCTCCCCTCCCCTCCCCACATTCCGCACTGCAGGCTGCAACTGATGGCCCGCCCCCTCTTCCCATCCTCCCCCATTCCGTCTGCTTCGTGTTGACTTGCCATCTCTTCCCCCTCCGCCTTCTCCACACCCCTTCCACTTTCCTCCCCTCTCCAGGCTGCAACTGGATGAAGCGTCGCTTCTTGCTGCCCACCGCTTGACTACTCTGCTGCACCTCCCAACCCCCCTCTTCCTCCCCCGTTCCCCCCCCCCTCCCCTGCCGCCAACCACACCTCTCCAGGCTGCAACTGGGTCAAGGCATCGCGTCCCTTCTTGCGCTACGTCCTATGGGAGCCCGTCACTTGAACCCCCCCCTCCTCCCACAGGAGCCTACCACTCGTCCCTCATCCGCTAATTCCTATGAGAGCCCACCGCTTAAATCCTCCTCTTCACCTTCCACCGCCCCCCTCCCCGCTCTCCTCTCGCCACCACAACTCGCCAGGCTGCAACTGGATCAAGGCGTCTCGTCCCTCCCTGCTATACGTCCTATGGGAGCCCTTCCTCCCCTCTCTACGGGAGTTCACCACCGGCACCCTACATGCCATGTCCCATTCCCCCTCGCCCTCCCCACCGCACGCGCTCCAGGTTGCAACTGGATCAAGGCGTCGCGCCCCTTCCTGCACTACGTTTTATGGTAGCCCACCAGCTGAACTCTTGGCTGTACCTTTCACCCCTTCACTCCCTACTTCCTCCCCTCAACTTCCTTTCCTCCCCATTGCAACTGGATCAAGGCGTCGCGCCCCTTCCTGCGAGACGTTTTATGGTAGCCCACCAGCTGAACTCTCGGCTGTACCTTTCACCCCTTCACTCCCTACTTCCTCCCCTCAACTTCCTTTCCTCCCCATTGCAACCGGATCAAGTGTCTCTCTTCCCACTTCCAACTTTCTGCTGCACCCTCCACCCCTGTCCCCACACCTTTCCCCTCTCTCCCTTTCCCCTCTCTCCCTTTCCCCTCTCTCCCTTTCCCCTCCTCTCCCCTCCCGTCCACTCGCACTCGCACCTCCACTCGCAACTCTCCAGGCTGCAATTGGATCAAGGCGTCGCGCCCCTTCCTGCGCTACGTCCTGTGATGGGCTTCCACTCCCTCCTGCCGCCTGCCTTGGCCCTGGCGTCTCATCACTCCCAACCCCTCTTCCTCCTCCCCACAGCGCAGGCTGCAACTGGATCAAGGCGTCGCGCCCCTTCCTGCGATACGTCCTATGGGCTGCCACCATTAGCACGGACAAGGCTGAGGATTGGGCAGCACTAGCTCACCTCACCGCAGGGCGGCGGTGGAGCTGGCAAGGAATATCTCAAGGAGCTCATGCCAGCTGCACTGGAGAATGTGCATGTGGCTCAACTGCGGGAGGCTAAGAGGTATCAGCAGAGGAAGGAGGGTGACAAGGAGCCACATCTCCTTGTGGCGCAGGTAACAGGACAAGGGAGTGGCGCAAGGAAGAGAGGTGTACCTGCGCCTCTCTTCCTTCCGCCAAGGGAGATACTCTGGACATGGCGGTTGGAGCAGAGAGATGGAAGGTAAAAGAAGTGCGCGCTGGTGCTGGTAGATGAGAAGGGGAGGGAGCAGCGAGAACATGTGAAAAATGTCGCAGTGGCGGGAAAGGCGGTGCGGTGCCCAAGCTGACGGGTCCCGTGACCAGAGCCGCTAAGGCAAGGGCTTTGGCACGGGAGGGGGCAGGGGTGCATGGGTACTGAAGGGAGAGAAGAGGAGGAGTTGCAACCTGGGACCAGGGATGGGGACGGCAGAGAGCAGAGAAGGGAAGAGACAAGATTGTAAGAGAGAGGGCAAGGAAGGGAAGCAAGAGTGCAAGAGAGGGACAGAGGGTGAGGTCACGACATCCTCCCCCTCCCCCCTCTCTCCCCTTCTTCCTGCTTTCCACATGTTACATCCCCCTTCCTGTGTTACATCCCCCTTCCTGTGTTACATCCCCCCCTCCTTGCGTTACATCCCAAGGATGGTACTCCATACTTTTCATAGTCCGCCACCTGAATTCTCTGATGCACCTTGTATCCCCACTCTGCCTCCACCTCTCCCCTCCACCTCTTCTTTTGAGTCGACTCAAAAGTTACCGGGCTTCAACTGGATCAAGGCGTCACCTTTTTCCCCTCCCCTCCCCTCACCTCTCCCCTCCACTCGCTCCTCTCCAGGCTGCAACTGGATCAAGGCGTCTCGCCTATTTCTTGTGCTTCTTGTTGACTTGCCATATCCTCCCCACCTTGCCCACCTTTCAATATTCCCCCTTTCCACCTGCAACACTGAGTAGGATGCAACTGGATCAAGGCCTCTCATCCCTTCCTGCGCTACGTCCTATGGGAGCCTGCCAGCTGGCCGCGCCGCATCCTCATGTACATGGCTGACGTCATCGACTCAGACGAGCACTACTTCACCACCGTTGCCTGCCAGACAGCGCGTTTTAACCGCTCGCTGCTAAATGCCAGCCTTCACTACGCTACCTTCGCCAAGGGCAGCCCGATAAGTCCCTGAAGGGTGTATGGTAGTGGCAGTATCGACTCGGACGAGCACTACTTCAGCACCGTTGCCTGCCAGACAGCGCGTTTTAACCGCTCTCTGCTAAATGCGAGCCTGCATTCTGCATTTTATCAGTGTGTGGGTGGCACTGGGTGAGAGGGCTACCGTAGGTCACCACCCACATTGACTCGGACGAGCACTGCTGGGGAGCACTGCTTGAGCTCCTGACGTCATCACCTGACGTCAACACGTGACGTCACCAACTGACGTCAACACCTGACGTAATCGACTCGCACGAGCACTACTTCAGCACCGTCGCCTGCCACTCGCCCCGCTTCAACCATCGTTTGCACGTCTCCACGTTTGCCAAGGGCAGCCAAGTATGTTTGTTCCACATTCCCCCTGTAACTGCTTGGCCTCCTGTGATGTCAAAGGTCAATGCGTTACCGATGACTGCTTGGTTCCCTGGTAACCCGCCTCCTCAACGCCAGCCTGCACTTGGCCACCTTCGCCAAGGGCAGCCCGGTGGGTTCCCTGTGTGTGATGGCATGCCAGCGAGCAGTTCGGTATGATTCCGTGTGGGCATGGAGGCACGGCCACTCGCCCCGTTTCAACCATTCCCTCCTTCGCCAAGGGCAGCCCGGTGCGTGCGTTCCAGTGATGGCATGGCAAAGGGGAGCCTGGTGGGGTTAGTGGTAGTGGTAGTGTTGGTATAGCAGGGTGAGGATGCACGTGGGAAGGGCATGCGACGCGGCCAGGTGGTACAAGGGTGCTCCTCACATACTGGACTGTGAGTGGGTACAGGGTGATGGAGAAACAGGCCCAGCCCTGTCTGTAGAATGATGGCATGCCAAAGGCCACCCCGATATGCTCTCTTGTGTGTCCCAGTTATGAGGAAGGCACATCGTACTCATGCTGCGGAAATGTGTGCTGCACAGAATCACTTCTGAGTCGACTCACAAGTTCTCTCGTGTGTCCCAGTGATGAGGAAGGCACAGCGTACTCATGCTCGGGAAACGTGTGCTGCACAAAATCACCTTGTTACGTGATGAGGGGGGAACGTGTGTCTTTCCCACACAGCTTGTTCTTTTAGGAACGTGAAGAGGGATAGCGTACTTTTGCTGGGGAACCGTGTGTTGCACGATTGCGATCACTTGTCGTCCACTCTTCCTCCTGACATTGCAGACAGGCCCCATCTTACCCCCCTTCTCCACCCCCACTTCCTGCCTCTGTTTCCCCTCTCCCTCCTGCTCGTACTCTCTTGAATGCGTCTTGAGTCGACGCAAAAGTTCCCTTTTCCCCCTCTTGTCCCTCCCATCCTCCACCCTTCACCCTTCCCTTCCCCTCTCCTATCCCCTCTCCTCTCCCCTCCCTCTCACTGTAGCACTCCTATGACTCCTTCTATGATGCCTTCACCAGTGCACCCTGCCGTAACCGCTCTTTCTCTCCCCTCCCCAACCCTTTCCACCCCTCCCCTCCCCTCCCCTTCTCCCCTCGCCCCAACGCAGCTCCCCTACTACGATGCCTCCACCAGTGCGCCCCGTTTCAACCGCTTTTCTTCTCCCCACCCCTCCCAACTCCTCCCCACTCCCTCCCC